TCGAAGAAACTTTATTTCTGGAGACACTTGAAGAAATCAATTAATGGATTTTGGAGACAATGTTACAGATGTCACATTATGCATCATTACCTGTCTTGAAGGTGGTTGTGCACACTGGTTAAAAGCTTGCACTGTATTAAAATATTAAAGAGCTAATCTTATGATATGAGTGTGGAAACTGATAAATTATCAAAATATGCTATTGTAGATGGAACACAGTTATTGAAGAATTAGATTCCTACAATGCAACCACAAATTTTAAGACAAACTTAATGCTAAAAATAATAAGCAGTAATTTTATAAATTTAAATGCACCGATGGTGTACATGAACTATAAATTTCACTGGTCATTCTTTTTCCAAGGAACTTAATTTCTTTACTCTTTTTAGAGAATTCCTCTCGGTGTGATGTGTGAATTAGAGAACTATAAAAATGAGTGGTCCAGAAGCTCGAATTCATTGATTGTATTTTTCTATTTTAAAAAACTGTTTTGTGTCTAAAATACTTTTATGCAAGTATTTTGTGTTTGATATCAAAAATACGTTTAATGAAGTATTTTGAATCTGAAATACTTTTTTAAAGTATTTTGCTCAACTCTATTGAATACTGCCCATTTAAATGCTATTAGAAGGGGCGTCTTTGTTTCTAACAAAACAAATTAACCCTGTTGAATATTGTCGAATGTTGTCTAATTTCATTAGCTCCAAATTTTGCCCTGTGTGCTCCATTAGTACAATTCACGCAGGTTCGATTCGTAATTTTACTAACCCTCCCGCCACTACAACTAGTTGACGTACCATTCGTACGAATGAGCTAGTTTTTTGGAAATTCCTTTTTTTTAACTATTATTAATGAATTGCACGTAACTATCAAATAATCAGCATTTCAATCAACATTTGGTATTTATTTTCAATTATTCTGTATAACCCAATTAAGCTCGTATTTTTTTAATCAGTCATGACTTCTATTTAATATTTTCTAAAATTATTGAAAATAGTTTTTATTGATACGTCACCGATCTTCCCGCGCTCTGCGTCTTCTCGAGTGGAAGTCGTCACGAAACTTTTTTTTTTTGTATCGTATTTGGTCCGCTCCAGTGTCCTAATATCACTAACTTTAATTGCGATGGGTTCACCGCAGATGGGTGCCCGCTTCCGAATACTGTCCTATAAAATTCCTCTATAGCACGACCAGCGCCGGCAATATGGGACCTTGCTCCTAACTATTCCGCGAAGCTAGTGATAATATTACTTGATTCACAGACAAAAATTCCACCATTAATAATCTTTCCATTCTTTTAGACCCGACCGACGCTACTTGCCACGCACATCCATCAACCTTTTTTTCCGGCCCCCTTTTACTCTGACGTCATCTTATTTTACCTCGCCGGCGTCTTCATAGAAAAAAATTAATTGCCGGGCCCTGACCACGAAAAAGTGAATAATTATAGTAGCAAATATAGTATTTTTAGATTTTGATAAACTATCTTTACAATTGGGTGTACTTTACATAAAGTCCCTAGGGCGTTTTCAAAAATTTCTAAAAGATGGTTCGAAATTTGTTCTTTTGATTATTTTTAGAATATAATACGCTTATGAAAGTGGCAAGGTCCGGTTTTAGAGTTAACTCTTTGAAAATTTCAAAATTTTTGGGCGTCTTCCTACAACTACAACTATACTACTACAACTACAACTATAAAATTGATGATGGACATTTTTCCTTCTAATAAAATTAGATCTCCATACTGAATTCTATATTAAGGTCATGTATATTTTTTTAGCAATTTTGCGTGCAATATGTGCAATTTAAAATAATAACATATACAAGATTTTTCTTAAAAACGGCTCCAATTTTTTTCGTTATGTTTTGCTAGGGAAAGTGCTACATGTACTCTTTAAGATGACATACGCCATAATACTCTATTCTTTTGTTTTTTCAAAAATTACAAAAATGTATTTTTTTACTTGTCTCTTGCGTCGCTAATATTTACTTTAGCGACGTGTGAAAACTAGCTCAAAATTCCGCATTTTCAGAAACGCTCAAACGCCATTTTCTCAAAAACGGCTCCAAATTTGTTCTTCAAACTTTTCGAACGGATAACACTAATTGCACTCTTTAATATAATGTAAAGTTCATTTGGGTGTATTTTTGTGTTGTTTTTCTTTCCAAAAATTACACAAAATTAATTTTTTGAAAGATCTTTCACGCCTTTATTATACAATTTCCAACAATTTGTAAACATTGTTGCATTTGTGAATTAAAATGCTTGCAATGAATTCTAATGAAGTTATTCGAAAAGTCAAAAATTTTCAGGGATAAATAGCTTTAAATTTCTAATTTACAGTAGCGTTTAAATGCCATTTTCTTAATAACGGCTCGACATTTTTCATTAAAAATTGCTATTTAGGACAAGATTTTACAGTTCTTTAATATTATTGAAATAATACTTCTGTTCTAATGTTAGGAAACCAAAAATTAAGAAAATTTCAAAAATATGTACTTTTAACGGAAATAAATGTCAGCTGGCAAGAGTATGTTGCAAATCCGATTACCTGGCTGAGACCAAAGGAAACAGTGAGGTGAAAGGGGACACGTCAATAAAACTTTTTTTTTAAAGAAAGTTTTTCTTTAAGGCAAGGCAAATTGTGCAATGAAGAAAAGAATCACGTCATAATAGTGTTTAAGCTATACTAGTGAATTCACACAGAACTGGTGATGCTAAAACTAGTGGCACTTTCTCGCCATTAGTAATGGTTATGTGATACTATGTACACCACAATATCGCTCCAAATTGTTTTCAAAACTCATTTTAAATCGTAGAACATTTGATGCGAAAAATAAGCAGAATGCAAAAAAGTATAATATTTTAAAGTTAATAAATAATACGATACGGATAGCGATGGATAGAAATAGATCGAAATATATGTAATAGTAATTATTAAACACTATGGTATTGTAATACTCTACAAATATATAAAAGTATTCGCTTTTATTTCCGCGAATGAGAAGCAGCCGTCATTAACGTGTTATCTTTGCGGCGTTACAATGGGCAACAACTACCAGCAGTGACCGTTCATCTGTACATTTTCACATTTAACACAATTAAAGGAGGCAATTTAAAATGAAATAACATGAATATTATGTAAATAATAATAATAATAATAATAATAATAATAATAATAATAATAATAATAATAACGATAACAATAATAAAATGAAACATGAAATAATATACTACTTACTTAGCATCCAACTGCGTAAATTGGGAGCGGGCGACTGAAGGTTAGCAATCTTTATTTCACATTTATTTCAAACAGGTTTTAAATAATTTCTAAAAGATTAATTTGTAAACTTAAAATATGAAATACGAAATACTATACACATCCTAACTTAGCATCCGACTGCCTCAAAACACCTACAATTACAATCAAGAAGCGCAGTATTTTTAGAGCGGGCGACTAACTGATGCCCAGTAATTATTCCAAAAATAATTATTGTTTAGAAAAATTCAACATGACCTTGTTTGAAAATCTGTTTTTGATGAACACATTTCATTTTTTTTTTTGTCTGTGTCGTCGTAATTGTAATTGTACTTAGACGCCGAAAAAGAATCGAATGTTTTCAATTGTCGCAAAAATCAGGGATTTCAACCACCATGAGACCTTCACCATTTTCTTAAATGTACTTTAGACTACCCGTCAACAAAATTTCATTAAAAATGGTCGAGTCGTTTTCAAGCAAAAAAACAAAAGTTTAAACACATATTAAAAATTGTCTGCATTTCACCCAACAATACGCGAAAAAGTATCAAATTTTCCAAAAATTGTTCATGGCTTTATTTCAAAATCTATCTTTATGGAACAGATTTTATTAAGGGAAAAATATCTATCTTAAATATATTAGTTGTGGGAAGACGCCGTAAAATATTTTGAATGTTTTTCAATTTTCGAAAAATTAGTTTTCAATCAACATAAGACCTACGCCATTCTCTTAAACGTCCTTCAGACTATCCAACAACAAAATTTAATCAAAATCAATGGTAACATTTTTTTAAATTTAGAAAATGTCCCAGGGGCGCAATATAAAGTACCCCTCAGAATTAAAATTATTTCTTCATAAAAAACTCAACTGGATTTATGAAATATGATAAAATATAATTTTAATGTTGAGATCGTTCGAGAAGCCCTGTAATAATTTCGGCAATATCATTACATATCGCGATTAGGATACTAGCTGTAAGGATATTATGAATTAGGTTTAAACAGTTGCAGCCTTTAAATCTGGCGCGTTTCTTCTTCTGGCGCTGCTTTTGTATTGCACAATTTGCTGGCAAGAGTGTACTCTTGCACTCTTTTGTTCAAATGTCCTGAACAGCTAATGAAATAACTAAGATCTTGGAGAAATATAGGTTACTTCTTATTATATATTACTTTATTCCTCCATACTATAGTAATACCATTTCGTGTCACTCCATGCTAGGGATTTTAAATACTTCATTGCACAGGTACCACATTGGCGTACGAACCTTTCGGCCATTCATCGATCTAATGACATTCTCAAGTATGACATAAGAAAATGCTTGTCAGATTGCGAATATACCAAGAATAGATATTACATCGGCTATTCTAACTTGCGGCCCTTCTTGACCTACCAAGTACCAGCGCAAGTAATGGCGTTATTTTTAATTAATGAACTTTCACAATTATTTTATTTCACAAAATTCCGCGAAGAAAACAAATGTAAAGAAAAATTCTAATAAATCGCAACACTAAAAAAATGGAAGAGATACCGCTTGTTGATCAGAGTTAGTAACCAGAGTTTTCTAATAATCTTACTAATATGTTTTTCAAAGCGTTTAAATGGAAAACAATATTGGCTTCTTCAATTTCTTCAAAGGTCACTAAGTGGGCCTACTGTTTTAATTGCGATTTATTGAGCTTGAGAAGTCTTTTTTTATAATCCATATACATCGAGTTAATGAATTACATGACCCTGCTTATCAAACGTATCATTCATTCAATTTTTCATGTTTTGTTAAATTTTCCACGTATCAATAGAATCATGGCTATTTCTCACGGAATCAGAGAATCAGTGAACCAAGAACTGGTAGAGGATATGGCTTCAAACAGGGAATGGAAGTGTGTGAGTGAGTGAGCGAGCGTGAGTGAGTGATAAGACAATGATTGTGCTGTGCCGGGGTGTTGCTCGTGTTGCTGATCAGAGTCTTACGTATGGGCCGGGATTGTAATAAGCGATCAGGTGGAGTGGATATGGCATGTGACTGAAGGTGCAATAATTTTGGTTTGGAAGTGCATGATTAAAATATAAAGATGAGGTTCTTAGCAAGTGCACATTCATCTTTATTGTCGAGAACTAGATATGTAAAACGTGAGTTGTATTATTATTATCATCATCAATATTATTTACGTACTAAATTTTAGACTTGAAATTGCTCTTCCGATTCGTTTGTTATAAGCATGTTTTTGTTGCAGGTGGATGCAGATGTGATCGACAGATTTATCGTATACTTCTCAACCATGAGCGCGAGTTCAAATACCAGTCTAATGTTATGATTATGCCCCTAACCTCAACCCTTCCGTGTTTAAGAGTTACAGGAAGCAGTTGCAGTGGTGCTTTCAGTGAAAGACAAAGAGCCAATTCAAATGTCGTGGGAAGAACTATATATCAGTTCCCAATATCAAGCTTGTGTTGTATGTCTTCTCGCATACCTGCATTAGTTTTTGTCAGGCATTTACATGTAGGGTCTCCAAGATTTGATAAAGAACCATTAAAACCTTCATCAAAGGTTGAACAGACTGTTGAAGTTCTGAAGAAAGATTTATTAGTAAGTGAAAAACCTGCAGTATCTCCTGCTGTGAAGAAAACACTTTGGCAGAAGATAAAGGATGAATGTGTCCATTACTATCATGGTTTTCGTCTGTTATTTGTGGACATCAATGTATCAAGAAAATTGCTATGGAGAGTTATGAATGGGAAGTCTTTATCAAGAAGAGAGTATAGATTGGTAAATGGATTGTTTAGCATTTGATAAAGAATTCATCTTTGTGTGAAGGATAATTGTAATTCTCTTTAGTTACAGTGCAGATGTATCATTAAAATGTTTCTGTACATTTAATAATAGTTTGAAATATTGTTATGAAAGTAGAAATTCTGAAACATACTGGGTTGGGGGAGCTGTTAAAAAGTTAAAGATATAATGGATATCAATTGTGATGATTATAAGTGGAATATTTGAAGCTCTTAAAAGTTTTAAATGAAACATTTCTATAATGTGTTGTAGTTAATCATTCATTTCCAGTATGTGTGCTCTGCTAGAGAGAAAATACATTTTGGTGCAGATACGACTGAAAAATCTTATTTAATGCGTATGTTGATGCTGTAAACATATTCATAAATGTTACATAGGTTTCATAAATGTATTGAAATAATTTCTAGTTCCCATTTAAATCTTTCTTCACGTGACATGGCACATATATTTTTGTGGTACAATTTAGTGATGTTATAGGTTTGAAATGTTTTATTAAAAGGTGTTTAAATTCATGATTCATTCTGATATATTGAACAAGGTCTTAACTTGTCGGGAAACAAGGCAGGTATTTTTATTTTTTGCTTCAAACATTACTGCTAGGTTCATTTTATGTATTAAAATGAGAGGTTTATTACTTACATAGCCAATACTTTGCAGATAACTTCAAGTTGATTTTGGCTGTTTCTCTATTCAATCTGTTTTCTTTTCTTGTTTTGCTGGATTGACTTCTTGACCCAAAGGTATTTTGAATTTTGATTTGAAATTTGTGGTGGATCTGTTAAAGTGAATGCAAGCATGCTATTTACAAATGAAGTATAAATTCTGCAAATTTTCAAAATGGTGTCATGAATTTGGGTGATCTGTGTTGTAAAAATTTTCTTTTGTGTTTAACCTGGTGTATTATGGTTATCAAAGTTTCTTTAGATATTTTCTGTATTTTAATATACCATACTCATTCTGTATAATTGGAAATCAGTATAAATGAAAACAGAACTTAGTATGAAAGAAAATGAAAATATTTGAAAATAATTAATAGGAGATATCCACAAATCTGAAATGCAGACACATCATAATATATCTATAATTAAACAAAAAAACGTGTTGAAAATTTTAGAAAAGGAGTAAAAGTTTCATTTCTAATTATAATAGGGCATTTATTTGTTATTTTGAGGGGAAAGAATTATTAATGTTGCCTCTTGATTTGACTATTTTGATCAAGCAAGAGTAAATTCATAAAGATTAAGCATTTTGTTTCTCTTGTTACAGTTGGTGCGAACCGTGTCGGATATGTTTCGTCTAGTGCCATTTTCTGTTTTCATAATCGTTCCTTTTATGGAATTCCTCCTACCTTTTGCTATCAAATTCTTTCCTGGCATGCTGCCATCTACATTTGAAACTGCTACTGATAAGGTATATGTATTTACAAACGAATACTCAAGTGGATTTTTTAATCTTAAGTTTAAAATACTAATATTTTTTATTCTTATTTCTGTTGTTATCGTATGCACTTTGTGATGGATTTCTTTTGAGGAAAGGCCTCATCAGGTGTCAATATTTTTTTATACTGAAGGTTTTTTTGATCATATAGCGATCATCATCAGAGCTAATCTGAAAATTGCAGGAATTATAGGAGTATAGAATAAAATGAATGAAATATAAATTGAAATTGTATAAATTATTTACAAAAGTTATGTATCGTAGTATGCCAGATGCATAAGCAAATTGGATAGCACATACTTTGCAGCATCTGGGCAGAAAATGAAGTTCTGCAGGTTATTGAGATTGCGGCTCATTCAGGAAGACAGCTTTGCTTTTATATATCTGTTGTACTGTGTTACATAACATTTTGTAAATAATTTTTACTATTTAATTTATACTTGATTTTATATTTAAAGTATTGTATTCTATAATTCTGTAATTTTCAGATTAGCTCTGAGCAAGGTTGCTGCACAATGGAAAAGATCGTTAATGTAATAATACTATTGATACCTGACTACACCTTTTTTCAAATTATTAAAGGGTAAATTTACCTCACCAGTGATATTAATGATGGAGTTGTATTAAGAAACGCATCAAAACAACTTCATTCTGTTAATAATTTGATGTGTTAACTATATAATGCTTTGTTAGCAATAATCTGAACAAATGGATTTCTTTTTCAATTAAATAGTTTTATGTTAGGAATTTAAAATAATTTATGGTTCTAGAGAGTGAAATACTATTTTATTCACAAGTGAAAAAGGAAAATGATAATAGGAGCTCACTTCATGTTGTAATAATGAATAAAATATGTTCACTTTTGTTTGTGTAGCGATCTTAAAGATAAATTAAAATTTACAGGAAGCAAAATTAAAACGCTCACTAAAAGTCAATCTTGAGGTGGCAAAATTTTTACAAGAGACTCTTGATGAAATGGCTGTGAAGGCAAAAGGTCATTCAAGTGACACTACAAAACAGTTCACAGAGTTCTTTGCTAAGGTAAGCAATGCCCTAAATCATTAAAGGTAGAACCAAGAAGGTAAGAACATTCACCAAAAATTGTGTTGTAGTAATATATAGTATTACACCTTGGCAATCCCCTTTTAAATGTAATAATTAAGGCTAGGATTTAGATGACCTAATACTCAAAATATTTAAAAATTTGTATGAATATGTTTATTTTTTCAATGAATTTTTTACGATTTTAAATAAAGTGTATTTATACAAAATTATACTTAATATAAAGAATTTTAGGAGGAAATGTAATCCTTAGCTTCGACCTTACAACCATTAGTTTCGAAAGGATCTGTGTAATTTTGAGAGATTGAAAAACAGAGTCCACTATAGTATATGTCCTGATGATACAATAAAAACTTTGTTGTAGGGTGTCATTGTAAGTTCATTAATAAAACACACAAAAATGATAAACATTCATTGTTAAGTTTGCTACTTCCAGAATGCACCAACGAAAAGATAACATGCCATCAGGGTCTGAGCCCTGATGATAATAAAACTCTTAGTGAAAGATAGGGTTAAAGAATGTATAGAAATTCCTTCACTTTTTGAAGAATAATTGTGTGCATAATTTACTATGCTTTCCTAGACTTATAATATTATTTATTAATTATTAATTTATGTACATGTATAATTTTTTGGTAGTTTCAATATAACATGAATACTTTTGAAATAATTGTCTTAAGTTATAATTCACATGACAGTAAATAATAATGAATTCAATATTAATTGAAATCATTATAAATTATGACTTTAGTTGTAAAATATATTATGGCTCTATAATTATTAGTTCAGTTTCATTATTTTCAAAGCCTCAATTTTTTTCATAATTTGCATATTAAACAACTTCTTATTTTTAGCTAAGATCATCTGGACAGCAAGCTACAACTGAAGAAATATTGAAATTTTCCAAGTTATTTGAAGATGAAATTACATTGGATTCATTGCAACGGCCACAGTTGGTTGCTCTTTGCAGACTTCTTGAATTACACACTTTAGGAACAAATAATTTCTTGAGATTTCAGTTGAGAATGAAATTAAGAAGCTTAGCTGCTGATGATAAAGTAAGTTGAGATGTTTATATGAACATAAAGGGTTTTGTATTGCTTAAACAATTTTTGACCATTGACTATCTTTGTCTTTTGTATTGTGTATGTTGAAGATCATATGATGGGTGAACGTGCAGCTGATTGTCTTCTGTTTAAGAAATAATTTTAATTCATAAATAAAAATTTCTAATACTATCTATGTAAATTTAATGGGATTTTTTAAATCTTAATTATTACGGATAGTCAAGTTATTCACATTAAGGCATAATATGGTTTAATATGCTATTGTGGAATAAACCATATTATGCCCTATTGTGAATAATTTCTTCTTCTTTTTCTTACTTTTATTTTAGGTTAGAGCCTGTTTCTTTACAAAGGATACTTAATTTAAATTTTTAAAAAACCTGATACATTACGTTTATTTAGTCATATTTATAAATTGGCACTATATTCATGCTGTCTTGTTTCACAAAATGTCTTTTCACATTGTTCTTGGACGTCCTACTCTTCTCCTTCCTTCCGGTCTTCTATCTCTAGTCACTTTCACCAGTCTGTCTTCTTCCATTCTGTCTATATGTTCGTTCCATTTCTTTCTTCTTTCTTGAACCCAGTCTGAGATTATATCTATTTGGCAAGTCTGTCTTATATTAATATTAGGTTCTTTATCCCTTATCGTTTTATTTGTAATTTTTCTCAGCACCCACATTTCCGACACTTCCATCATTTGGCATATTTTTTTTTAGTCTGCTCTCGTTTCAGCTGCATATAATTGGTTTATGCTGGTTATTACTGGTTTAATTACTGCCTTATATATTCTAATTTTGGTGCCTTTTCTTAGATATTGATTTCGCCATACCAAGTGGTTGAGACAGCCTGCTACTTTATTTGCTTTAATGCTTTGTTCCTTAGCCTCTTTTATAGATCTGCCATCACTAGTTATTGTTATGCCTAAATATTGTATTTCCATCACTTGCTCTATTAGGTATTCGTTTATAGCTAGTTTGCATCTCAATGGCTCTTTTGAGATTGTTATGCATTTAGTTTTTTGTGTGGGTATCCTCATGTTGAATGACTGGCATGTCTTGTAGAATTGAAACAGGAGGCGTTGTAAATCATCTTCGCTTTCGGCAATGAAGACTGTATCGTCTGCATAACAGATTGAGTTTATGTTATAAGAGCTGATGTAATATCCTTTTTTGTTCGAAAGATTGTTTAGGATGTGTTTCATTACCAGGTTGAAGAGTATTGGGCTGAGGGAGTCTCCTTGTCTTATTCCTTGACCTGTTGTTATGGCTTGGGATATTTGTTTGTTATGTTTCATTTTCATTCTGGTGTTCATATATATATATTTGCTATGAGTTTAATAAGGTTGCAGGGGATATTTTCTTTCTTTAATAATCTTGCTATATCTACAAGGCGTATACTATCAAGGCGTATGCTGTGCTTTCTGTATGTCTATGAAACATATATATGCAGGTTTGTCGAATTCCAGGGATTTCTCAACAATTTGTCGTATAATGAAGATCACAATCATTACATGATCTTCCTCTTCTGAATCCTTGCTGTTCTTCTTTCCATTCTATTAAGTTTTCTATTACATGTATGATAGTTTTTGTTGTTAGTTTGAGCGTTGTGTTCAGAAGGTTAATTCCTCTATAATTATTTGGGTCTAGCTTGTTCCCTTTTCTAGAAAGGGGGATTAGAATGCTAGTTTTCCATTCCTCTGGTATTTTACTCTGCCTATATTTTTTGTATCAGTTTTGCTAATTCTTTATGTAATGATTGCCCCCCCCCCATATTTTAATAGTTTGTTATATATGCCATCCTCTGCGAGTGATTTCCTATTTTTTAATTTAAGTATCGTTTGTATAACCTGTTCTTCTAAGATCTCATAGTCTTGTGTTAATGTGTCGGCTATATCCAATACTGGAGCCTCGTTGTTGTGAAATAGCTTACTAAAATATTCTCCCCTTTGTGTTACTGATTTTTGTTGTGCTTATCAACTCATTTGTTTCAGAGCGTGTATTTCTTATGAAATGCCATATCTGTTTTTGCAGGCCGTCAAAGTCGTGTTCCATTCTTGCAGTAAATGATTCCCAATAATTTTGTTTTATTTTCCTGATATTTATATTTACTTGATATCTTATAAGTTTGTATTCTTCATAGTCTTGTAATAATTTAGACTTGTTAATTTTTCCTAATGCTTCTTCCGCTGACTTGAGTATATTAGGTTTTTATTTTTTCCCAAGCTGTCACAATATCATCTTCTTCTCTAAATCCGTTGTTATTGATTCTTTCATCTAAGCGATCTCTATAAAGTTTTTGTGTTGACCCATGTTGAAGGGATTGGATATTAGTTTTTGAGATTGTATCCCTGGGTATTGTTTTTTCCCGTTTAAGTGTCGTTCTTAATTGGCTAGGCACCAGATTATGGTCAATCCAATATCTGACTTGTTAAAGCTTCTTAAATCTACATGTTGATGGATGACACATTCTATTCGTTATCACAAATCTATTATGGTTCAGTTGTCCCCTATTATTTTCCCATATTTATTATTCTCCCATGTGAATAAATTTGACTATAATAATTCAGCATAAAAATGTTTATTAAATGTTTAATTCTTGGCCTTTTCCAGATTTATGGCATATTTTTAGGTATTGATAACAATGTTTCGTATTAAAATTTATTTGTTAATAAAGAAGATTCAATTTTAATCCTTTTTTGCAGATGATTCAAAAAGAAGGAGTTGATTCCTTAAATCCTCAGGAATTGCAACAAGCAAATAAAGCTCGTGGAATGCGAGCTTATGGCATTTCTGAAGCACGCCTTAAATCACAGCTAGCTCAATGGCTTGATCTTAGTTTAACTGAAAAAGTGCCGCCTACACTGCTCCTCCTATCAAGAGCATTACTAGAAATGCCAGAAACTGTTCCTGCCAGTGATCAACTTAAAGCAACTATCTCTGTATTGCCAGAAACTTTGGTAAGTTTAGTGTGAGTTGTGAGGAAGTTTTGTTAGCATTATTATTCATATTCAATTGTTTTCAGCAGTAGATCAACCTTTGCTTTTATTGATAATATGGTATAGTGGTAATTTTTTTGACAGATGTTTATTAGTTCTTGAAAACTATATTGAAAATTTCAGATTAATAAATAAAAGCAAACATTGATCATCAGGGAAAGAAAAAGAGAATAAATAAATTTTAAAAAATCAATGAAATCAATTGTGCCAAAGGAAAAGGGAGCTGAATTGGACTTTCTATTGCTGGTCTTGAAATTCAACATAAGCATGAGCAAAGATACATTAGTAATTGCCCAAATTGCAATATTTTTCAATAAACTGGATGCATTTTTTGCATTTGCTGTACATTTTATTACCAAGAAAATTAAATAAAGTAAATGCATAGCCTGTATTTTGATAAATTGGTTATTAAAATAGTTGAATTTTTATTACAGGTTACACAAACTAAAGCGGCTATTGAAGAAAGAGAAGGAAGAATTGACAATAAAACAAAGATTGATGTTATTAAGGAAGAAGTACGTTTAATAAAAGAAGAAAGACAAGAAATGCGGGAAGAAGAGAAAAGACGAGAAGTAAGAAATACAATTTATCTGGGACAAAAAACAGTTTTGTGCTTAGAAAAGGGTGCAAATTGATACAGGTTGGGGAACATTTTGTGCATCATTCCCCAGACCTTCAATATACTTTGCTAGAAAAGTATTAATGAATCCCTGCCAAGTACACAGTTAATCCATTTCTAGGCACCTCATTTATGATTTCCATACTGTGTTCAAATGAAGTAGTCTAAATCTATAAAATTTAGATCGAAAGGTATAGGAAAACGTATTTGTTCTGTTGCATTGGAGATTCGGTCTATTGACGAGTCCTAATATTACAACAATCAGTGGTTGTATGTACATATGTCATTCATCTCACCCACAATAAGTTCCATAGGCAGCAGCTGCCTATGACACACATGCCATGTAACAATGGTCGAAGGGTTTCATTTCGTATAAGTTTCGCAACACTGCTCTGTCTGGAGCTAATACAAATTAAATTATTGAAAAATATACTTATTATTAATGTAATGTTGTCATACTTGCATCAAAGTAACACATTTTTACAAGTAATTAAAGTTGTTGTCCTTAAAACAGTGCTTTAAGCAATTATAACCATAATATTATTCCTTGTAATAATCCCAAAAAGTTTGTTTAGCTGTTGTGATCTATACTTAAAATTTTGAATTATGGATATCCTATAGATATTTGTACCCTCTTTTTAATTCTCCAGAAAGAGGAAGTTCTTATCGATCATGCTCCAACATTGGTTGACAAAGCTCCTGAAATAGTTGCTGAGAGACCAGCTGGTGATAAGAAGGTAAAGATAGTATAAGTCTTTTGAAGTAATTTGTGTATTGTATTATATTGTCTTTCTTAAGTTTAATGTGAGGGGAAAAAATTAAGGTGAAGAAGAATTTAGTAATGTAGCATAAAATTGATGGCATTTCTTTGACTTGCTTATTTCAGTAAAGTAATTTGTTCCATGTGCATGCAAATTTCACTGTTAGTTGTTTTTTAATGTACTGCACATATTTTGTGGTAATTTCTCCCTGTAATGATTGAACTTATTTGCAAAATAATCTACATTTAATTTTCAAGCACCTTGGAATGAAAAGTACACTTTAAACAAAATGTAATGTATTGGTGTTTGATTTAGTGTTGAGGGCAGATGCAGCAAGAGTTATCATGTTTTGAATAATTTTGAGCCTTACATTGAATCTCATGTAGCACATATCCTCCCCATTAGCGAAGATTGTGATTTTCTTGATAGTTTATTATTAGATATTGAAACTATTTGTTGTTCCAGTGATTCTTAAGTCCTTTTAGTGGTTCAGTCTGATAGTGTGTGTTAAATTATTGCCTTCCATTTTCATCGATTAGGCCATTTCAGTCAACTTTCAATATTAATTGTATAACGCTACTGAATTTTAACTGTAATTTAACAGAAAATATTAAATATTGAGGTTTTGAATTATTCTGAAGTGCAGAAATATCCTCCTTGTAAAACAGCTTGGGTAACAGAGCCACTCAATACTTTTAACAAATATTCATTTTTATCAAAACTATTTAGTGTAATTAAACAAATTATGTAGTATTCTTTGTTATATCTTATCTTGCTGTTTTAGGAGCTGACATCTACAGACCTTGAAACTTTGGAAGATGCTCTTGATGAAGTTAGCAAGGATAGAAAGAAACTTCTAATGGAAAGAGAGGAACTTGATGAACTTAAGGAAGAACTTGCCGAGTATCAGGAGGTCAGTGGTAATAAGCAGTTCAGATATTTAGAGAATATTAATGAATTGGAATCACTAGTAGTGGTACCGTTTTTTGTTGTTCAGTTACCAATAATTTGATCATCATAATGTGAGGAAATGTATGGAAATCTGTTTCAGCATATTAAACAAAATTATTTTACCGTGTATTGTTTATCGATATTTTCATAATGTAATGGATGAGTTTCTGAGAGTTTTAGTTGTTGAATGATGTTAGTTGAAGGATGATAATCTCATTTTTTTAATATGGAATTTTGAAGGATGTTGCGGATTTGAAGGAAGTTCTTAAAGTGGCTGGAGATTCCAAAGTGGATGTTCAAGAAACCAAAGGTGCTCAACGTTTATTCAAGAAAGTTAGTAGCATGATTCAGAAAATGGATGCAGTGGTTGCCCAACTAGAAAAGGAAGAACAGCTATTGAAACAGGACCTTGCCATGGGTGATACTGAAACCAAAAAGAAATGGTAAGTGAAAACAAAGTGTGTAGTTTGATACTAATGTACATACAATTTCTGCCATTTCCATGTGGTCAGAACACCAAATATAGATTCCAGAATGATATGAAATAGAGTATAATCCAGGTGCATAGTTTTAGAATTCTTTAATCCAGAAGACATCTACTAAAAATAACTAAATAAAAAAGAAAACAATGGAAAATTTGAAAAGCAAAGGTATTTTTTGTCTCTATTGAAAAGTCTGTCAGTTTCTTAGGTTAGTTATTTCTTTTTCTAGCTACATCAGTTCTTTTGAATAACAAAACCATTCCCATATTTTCCATTCAGACTGTACTGTAAATGAAAAGTTCATTGACGTATTCTCCTAAATTTCAATGTTAAAGGGGAAGATTTAATCTTTGTCCCTTTTTCAAAAATGAAATGGTAAAATTATGGAATTCATATTGAAATCCTTTTTGTAAATTGGGTTTTTCAATTATTTTTTTAGTGAAGAGTTGGTGTCCATTGAAGAACTAATTAAAGCGATAAAGCTAATACAGAAGGTTCCAGATGAATCCCTTGTGGAAAGGCTAAGTGAAGCTCTGTCTAAAATAGATTTGGATCGAGATGGTGCTATTCGTGTGGATGATTTGCGCAAGGTAAGGAAGATTCAGACAGTTGATTTGATAAGCCAAGAGTTGTATAAAAAACGAAAGGTTCAAATTTAAATGCTTTTTTTTACTGGTGTATTGGACATGGTCCCTCTGTTCTCTCTTCTGTTCTGTCTCTTCTGTTCGTCTCTGTCTCTCTCTGTCGTCTCGTCTCTGTTGTCTCTCGTTCCCTGTGTCTCTCTCTCTTGTCTCTCTCTCTCTCTCTCTCTTCTCTCTTCTCTTCTCCTCGTGTCTCTCTCTCTGTGTCTCTCTCTTCTGTTTGTCTCTTTCTCTGTTGTCTCCTTTCTCTGTGCTCTCTCTCGTTTGTTCTCTCTCTCTAGTGTCTCCCTCTGTGCTCTTCTCTCTCTGGTCTGCCTGCTCTCTCTCTTCTGTGTCTCTCTCTCTCTGTGTCTCCTCTCTCTCTCTGTGTCTCTCTCCTTCTCTCTCTGTGTCTCTCTCTGTCTCTCTCTCTCTTGTGTCTTCTCTCTCTCTGTGTTCTCTCTCTCTCTGTGTCTCTCTCTCTCTCTGTCTGTTCTCTCTCTCTCTCTGTGTCTCTCTCTCTCTCTTGTGTCTCTCTCTCTCTCTGTGTCTCTCTCTCTCTCTGTGTCTCTCTCTCCTTGGTCTCTCTCTCTCTGTGTCTCTCTCTTCTGTGTCTCTCTCTCTCTTGTCTCTCTCTCTCTGTGTCTCTCTCTCTCTGTGTCTCTCTCTCTTGTCTCTCTCTCTCTGTGTCTCTCTCTCTCTGTTCTCTCTCTCCTCTGTGTCTCCTCTCTCTCTGTGTCTCTCTCTCTCTGTGTCTCTCTCTCTCTGTGTCTCTCTCTCTCTGTGTCTCTCTCTCTCTGTGTCTCTCTCTCTCTGTGTCTCTCTCTCTCTGTTGTCTCCTCTCTCTGTTCTCTTTCTCTGTCTCTCTCTCTCGTCTTCTCTTCTCTCTGTCTGTCTCTTTTATTCCATGTACAAAAAGAATTGCTCTACTGTCTGTCATATGCATCACTGATCCGAGTTTATATCCTAGCAATACCTGCGATTTTCCACACTCGTCCTCACACCACACACAATTTACACATTATTTTTATTATTATCGTTGTATATTATTATTATTATTATTATTATTATTATTACATACTTAATTGTACACGTGTTCTTAGTAGAATATATAGTGTCAAAACTTCAAAGTAAAGTTAAAATTTAAGTGTTGGCAAAAGGCTTTTAAAGGTTTAATAATCCTTCCATCCTTCCAAAAATCAGTGGGAATAATGTTACTTTTTGAACATCGGCAAATTAAAGGGTCTGAGGAAAATAGATGTAAAAGACTGGAAAAGATAAATTGCAGGTACTGGAAAGTGGAATTTCATTGTAAACTTCAATTTCACTAACCAATAGTAGACGACATTATTCATTGAATAATGTGTGTCAAGTTCTTTGGATGTATCTAACATAGATTTCATAGTGTGGTTCTGCCTTCTAAATACCATGAGAGGTTAATTTGCACAATAATATATGAAACACATAAATATTAGTTATCTACGTGCCACTTCTACAAATTGAATGCAGTAAAATGAATTCCAAGTCTTGTATTTATTTAGTATTAATCTGGAATGACAGAGTGCAACCTCTCAGGAGATTGTGAGGTGGAACGAAAAATCCTCTCCGTCTCCACTCCTTATACTCCACTAACCATGTGTTCTTTTAATTCCACATTACCATTTTCCAGAGTCAGAGGTGAATGTTCAGAGTAATATAGAAAAGCAGTGATGGCCCAGATGTTTTCAACAGACTTATTAAAGAATGTATTTTATAGCAAAGTGGCCCAAAAGAGCATTTGCTTAGTTTAAATTCATTTCATGATGAAGAATTATACCCTTCCAAGATATGCTTTAATATACTCCTTATTCGAGAGAAGAGAAATGCAAACCTCTTCATTTTATTCCTTATTATTGTGTTTTGTTTATTTTAATAAAATTATTATTTGTATCAAACTGTTTACCTTTCCCTTAAGGTGCATTGAACTTTTTATGCAATTCAGTAAGGTCAAAAAATAACAAGTTAGGCCTATGAAGTCCAGATTTCTTATGCTACAGTGAATAATTACCATATACTTTCTATGCAGTTTTAATAGATTTAAAATGTGATTACCTACTAGAAAATATGGAATATTCTATTAATTATTTGAGGTGGGGATATTCATTCATTCCATCTTCCCTGGCATGACTTCAGAGATTACCTGTTACCCAAACCCATGATATGCTTTCAAATTTTTAATTAAAGAAAAAATGTTATGTTAAAAACAGCTATGTTAATGTGTATTATTCATTTACTTTTTTCTGTAGGTAATTGAGGTTGTTGGAAAGGAGAAAGTGAAACTCAGTCAAAAGCAACTGGATGAAATAGTTGAATTAATGACCAAAGAAGAAATAATTGAGCTAGAGGAACAAATAGGAAAGGTCCTCGAAAAAGAAAGCCTTCAAAGTGTGAGGGAGAAGAAAGGACCCAAGAGTCCTGGAGAGAAGGCATCTGGTGTTCCTGCTGGAAAGGAAGCTGAAACTGAATCTTCTCAGGACAATATAAAGAAGGAAAGTAAGAAATAATTACAAGGTATTTAATTTATTGTGACTGTTGTTAACATAGTAAATCTTAATGAAATTGACATGTGCATAATGTGTTCTTCTAAATGAATATTTAATAATTTGTGCAGTACTGTGATACAGTTAATAGACAATATCAAATAGCTATAAATTTATTATTTACTATGTGGTGGCGTTTTATTAACTTTGTTGGAATAAGGTTATACTTCAGGGAAGTATTTTCTTAGTTACCTCCTTAGTTCACATTTCTCTCTTGTGTTAATTTAAATTTAACACTTGTATTAGTTCCTCTGTTAAACTTGCTGTGTGTAATATATTTATCATCAGTAATAGCAAGCACAAAATTAGAGGATATATTATATATTTTGCGCTGTATCCTGATTTTCTGAAAGTATGTACGTGCTCTACTATTTTTTAACTGTATTATAAAATGCAAATAAGCTTGATGCATATGTTTGTGAATGAAAATTGTATGAAAGTAGAATGTACATATGTAAGTGTAATTTAATATTTATATGTACATGAGAAATAAAGATGGTATGGAACAAGTTAAAATTGAAAGTTATGATAACACATTTTTTGATGGAAACCTTATTGACCCTGTACATATAAGGTACATTCCTTGAGTTAAGATGGATAATTGAGAATATCCTTTCATATTTTGTTGATTTTTTAAATAAAAGCTGAACAAAACCATTAGTATACTATGTTTGGATGCGAGGAGAGAAGAAAGTATAACTGTCAGAATAGAAGCTGTTCAGCTCAAACTTGTTAAGCACAGTTAGTGGTTGAAAGATCTTCATAGTACTGTTTAAGGACCGTTAAACTATTTTAACTATTCAAGGGACTACATTACATAACTCCCATATGACAGTTTCAAAATGTTCTTCAAAATGTCTGTACACTGTTTTTTCCTAGAAAAAAATGCATTTATGAATTTTGAATTGTCCAATTTTCATTAAAACCTCTGTAATTTTGAAATTTACAAAAGTTGAAATGTTTTTCGAATGTGACTTTCATTTCCAATATTAAGTTAGGGTTTTCTTTCTCAATGCAATTTATCACTCAATTTTAGATCTTTAAATGTTGCAGTGTACGAAATATGTGTAGTTGTTGACTAATGTTGATGAAAATAGTGACATTTTCCCAAAAATATGTAAACAAGTATTGATCAAAAAGGGCTCCAATGTTGTTTTTATTGTATACTTTCTGTAAGGATAAAATTCAACCCTGATTTATATGGGATTAGTGAGAACATGGGAAAGCAACATATTCAGGCTTCTTTCTGTTAGAGGGAAGGACATTCACAATCAGTATGTTAGTACTTGTACTTATTACAATATCCAAATGATGCATTTCATAACACTAAGAGGAGGGAAAGTTCAGGGTGCCATGTATTCCCATTAGTTCATGTACATTATGAAATATTCTATGAATTTATGTTAATATAAGGAAATCTAATTGATAGTCTGGTGCACTTCAATTTCTTAAAAATTTTGTAATGTTTAAGTTGTTTTCTTTTTTTTCTTTCTGGAAATAATTTGATTTGTGTGTTGGGCTCAGAAATGCCACCTTTGACATCTATATTACAGAATTGAAATTCTCAAAACTTGCCCAATTATGTAATTTCAAATAACATCTATACATCAAATGCTTATAAACTATTATTTAAAACGTTTGGGGGCAAAAAAGACCCCAAAGGGAACCCACATAAGTATGGGAGAAACACTCGAAGGGTTAAAAAATGTCAGTGTCTGAAGGCAGCCTGCACCTAAACCGAACACGAGTTTCTACGTCATACGAATGGGCCAGAAACAACGGGTATTATAGGAAAGGTGATGCAAGATGTGTATGTAAGCTCACTGTGCCACAACATAGGTAATCAACCATGTGTACATGAGACTCGCAGTGGGACGTTGGAATTTTCCATTGGAGCGGTAGCAAATCCAATGGCTGTCGTACCAGCCACATCAAAACCTAAATATTTTTAAAATGTTTATTTACAATATTAAAAAAATATGTATAACATAGTTCCCAACTATCGCTCGCGGGAGCAAACTACTGCGGTAGCAGTCCGGGTCTCGTTTTCTTCGTGAACGGCTGCATCTGTCTATGCGATTTTGCCTGAGAGGACGCAAGGCTCCTATAGGTCAGTACGTTCGTGCACAAAATCAAATCTAACAAAGGGCTATTTCTGGGAATGATTTATGTCGGTAAATACTTTTTGCATCTTAGCAACCAACCATTTTAACAACTCTCTAAGAGCGCATCTATAGAAACGGTCGTTAAAATGACCGAGAGTATATTAAAAATATTTTAGCGAACTTCTGGGTTTAGATTTTACTAGTGCTCATAAATATTTGAATAAATGTCTCTTTTGTCCCCCTTTGTCCTTTTGGCCCTGTCAATACCCCTTGCTGTAGAAACATCGAGAGTAATTACAACTCTTAACTCATGAGTGTTAAATGTTTATTTTGAATAACTAGAAATAAAAAACCTTGTAACACGCCCTCCATTATTGTTTAGGGACTTGTTACGTAAATAACTATTATGTACGTCGTCATGATAAATATTGTCAGAGATAAGTAATACGCCTACCCACCGCGTGTCGGTCTTTAGGACACATCAAAGGGCACGAATATTCGCCGAACTCATCAGCTGTACGGGATTGGGCGAGCAGTACCTCGCTGCGCGGCGAACGTCGAATGTGTGGAGCCGCTTTGACGGCTCCGCCAAGCGGTTAGGTTCTCAGAGTCGCTTCAGAATCCTCTCCAAATTTCCCCAGCTGTAAATTCTAGAATCAACCGTCGAAGAGTGTGAAAGGGCATTCTTTTCGTGAAAGGTGGTTAAGTCGCGGGCGACAGTGGGTCTCGCGCGGCGGGAGCGGAGATGGTGGGCGGTGTATTTGGGCTTTCCCGGCGCCTGCGTTTATTGCGGCGTGAATCGAAGTACTGTTACAAATATAAAGAAATGCCCTCAAGAATGTAGCAGGAAATTTTACAAAAAGATGATGAGAATTGGTTTAGGTCATGTGAAAAACGTATCATAATTTTGAAAATTTTATGTCAAAATATTTTTAAAAAATATATAAACTCGTGTGCTTTTTTGCTAGTTATGAAAGAATGTTTTTTATTAAAAAAATATATTGTATATACTTAACATACAGTAATTTTAAAATTAACAGTAAGCTAAATGAGCGTTTTTACTTTCTCATAAATGCTGTAAGGACAAAGTTATGCAACGCTGTGCGAAAAAAGGCAGAAAAACTTCTATTAGAGGGCCCTAGTAACGAAAAAGTGGGTACATCAGTTACTAAATTTAGAAAAAAACACCTCTAACGTGGTGTAGCCAGAATCCATGTTTTGTGGGCCCTTGGTACCGAAAAATCGATTGACGACAAAACGTTTGTTCGTCCGTCTGTGAAAAATGGTAGCGGCTAAACCGTTCAGTTGATTTTCTCCAATTTCGATATTCCTCAATCCATCTGGCTGATGCTGCGGCCTCTTGAAATTGAAACCTATATTTTGATTTTGGGGAGTTCTTTACATGAAGCCTCTGGAACATTTTCCAAATTAAAAAAAAGGCTCCATTTTTTATTAAATTTTGTTGTTGGATAGTGTGAAGGGCGTTTAAGAGAACGGTGCAGTGTAGTTCTCATTTCCGTCAAAAAACCCTGATTTTTCGAAAGTACCGCTGGGGCCGCGTCTTTGGGAGAGATCATTAGCAACACCTACGGCTAATCAGTGGGCACTGGGCAGCCTGTCTGCTGGCACGCTGGGACCCTTCCGCCCGCTACTCAACTGGATAAGGATATCTAACAGTGACTGACCACTGATTTCAGAATAAATCAAGGAGTATTAGGATTAGTTTAATGCCAGGCGAGCCGCGTATTTGCTATCCGTCTATGAAGAATACTAACGTCCAAACAATTCGTACGATTTTTTCCAAAATTATTATTTCCCGGTCGATCTTGCGCCCTGTGATTAAGAAAAAAATCTTTAATTTTCTCAAAAAGGGCTCCAAATTTTGTCTTAACATTTCTGGTAAGAATGAAGTTAAATACATTTGTAATAATAATCTAGGTTCTAAATTTGACTGTTGGCACTGAATTTTCGAAAATTATTAGAGTTTGCAATCGTTTTCCTACAACTGCAATATTGAAGGTGGAATTTTTTTCTTGAAATGAAATTTGTCTTCACATTTATTTCTTTACTTAATATACTATATTAAAATATTAGTATTTTTTTGCGCAATTTTGTGCGAAATAACTTTTTTCATACATCTTTCATGTTGTTAATATTTACAGTACGAACGTTCTTTACGCATTATTGCATTTGCGAATTCAAGTGATTCATGTGATGTCTCATGAAATTTCTTAACAACGTAAAACTTCTGTGTGAAAATCAGCTAAACTCTCAAATCGTCAGAAACGCTGAAAGAGATATTTTCTCAAAAACAGCTCCAAAGTTTGCAATGAAAATTTGCATGTGAAGCCAGATTTTTCTCGTCTGTAATATTCAAGTAGAATATCCGTCCTACTAGTAGGCGACCGAAAAATCGAGAATATGTGGAAAAAATATTAGTTTTCTGACAGAACTATTTCTCGGATATAAATAATACATCAACGATGTTAACTGATAAGCATTACTGAAAATATTGCATTATGTACATTTTCTGTCAAGATAGATAATTTTGAGAAAATTATTGATTACTAAGAGCGTTGTTGATAGATTATAATGTTAAAATTATTTTCTTTGCACTAAGGCTAAAGAAACCAATGGTTTCTGATTACTTCTGATGTATAGATTCAATATTACAAAGCACTTATTGTGTTTGGACGGCATATGCATTCAAAGGTCACTTTAAGTTATATTATTGGGTGTATCAATCATTATATTTCAAAACTGTAGCATTTCCAATTAATACGGTCAGCACATTCGGTCTAGTCAGGCAGGAGCTCAGGGCAGTTGAGCCGAAGCACGTAGTCACTAAGGCTGTGGGCTTCAAACCTGCGTAAGACAAATGTTTTCAGTTGTGTTGGAGTATTTCAAAGAGTGTACCAAAACAATCGTAGAAGCATCGAAGTGAAGCGGTGAAATACCAGGGGCAAATATGTAAAAGTACAGGAACGAGAAAGATCTATGCGACGTTTGGGGGTATGCAAACGTGTTCGTGAGTAGTGCTGATAGTCTTTTGGACGTCGAAGAGCACAGGAAACAATTTAGTTCGAGAAAGTTTGTGTCATTCTGTAGCACTAATTACTTTCTCGCATACTACATACGTAGTTTAGAGATTTATGTGAAGCCTCAGAAAAATTGCGTTTTTTCGGCAGAAAAATTCTAGGTACCTGATTCGGAAAAATGGATACTTCTTTTTCCTCTAACACGTCGTGTAATCACATTCTACGTTTTATTGGTCCTTGATAACAAACCATTGCTTTACCGTAAAACATCTGTCCGTCTGTGAACCACGCTAGTAAGGGTATGCAGAATTTTCACGAAAATTTGATTTGATTTCATTTGATGCATTTTCATCAAAGTAAGTTTAAAT